CATTTAAAGATTATTGAAAAAATTACTGTTCGTGTGCAGTACATAATTTGCAAAAGGTTAATAACTATTTTAAAACAATGAATGGAATTAACTCATAATGCAAAGCAGATGCCCCAAATGTTATTTTTAAAACAAAACACATTTAACTTATAAAAGAACAAAGACCATCTAAAGCCAGCCCTGTTGCTTAAAAGCACCGGCGCTGCGGTTGCTTTGGACACTTGGTTCCCTGGCTCATGCAATTTTGATAAAACTCGGTAGGTCCTGACTGCTCTGCCTGCTCTCCTTTAGCCAAAAGTGATTTTTTACAGCTAAACTTGTAAAGCTCTTCCACGAAGCGGTAATACTAGCCATGCTGGAAGAGATTTACCTGCGCCAGGCCAGGAGAGATTGCAGTAATAATTTAATGTATCTCTGATACAGTTCAAAAGGAAAATATTAAAATTCAATAGAGTACACGAGAATTCTGTGCTTCACATGCAATGCACTTTAGATGATGAATCACAGCGCGAGGCAAGAACGGCCGTCTGGAATGATCTAGCAACAGGAGAAAACAGAAGACACACTAAATGGCAGTCAAACAAAATTATCATTCCCAACAAATAGTCGGAATACACTCCAGATCACAAAATATTAGGAGCACAGGAGTAAATAAGATTACTTTAAGCACATTCTCTTTTACTGCACTGACAAATCGTTGCAAATAGCACCCGTGGTGAGTGGGAGCCCAGCTGAGCTGTGCCGGTGGCCAACAGGGGGCATTTCCCGGGAACACCCCGGTTTCAATCCAGAGTGGGAGCCTTGGCACCACCGGGTGTGAAAGGGACTGTGGTCCTTGGAAAAGTACCACCCCCCTAAAAAAAAAAAAAAAAAAGAAAAAAAGAAAAAAGCTTAAAATACCTGCAAGTTATATTTGTAGCGTCACTTTAACTTTGACCTACAAGAGACACAGGGAGAGTGAAAAGAAGCATCCTGAACCAGACCAGGAGCCCCCTGAATTGCATATGCAGCACCAAAAAATAGAATAAAGGCCTGAATTGGAATTTAGCATCTGAGCAGAGATGTCACTGCTTGGTAGGAACAGAAAACTCTTTGCTGGCGAGGGTATTTCCCTGGGCTGTTCTATATTCTGTTCAGAGAAGTTGAAGCAAAATCAGCAACAAAACTGTGCACTTATATATGGCCCACAGTTACCAGTAAAAGCTTTGTTCAAAATAAATAAACAAATAAAGTAAAATAAACAAAACTTTAACAACATCGATGGCTACGAGACGGAGGTGGAACTTTGGGACCATCCTGGGACTGTCCCGGGAAGCGGCACCGCAGGCCGCCGGCATCCGCCCGGGAGAAGGGCTCCCTTCCTCAAGGATCAGCTGCTGGGCCCCTGCCAGGGGTATCAGATTAAAGGGATAAACAGTCTGCTCTGTTGCAGCAATTACGCTCCAAAGATCTCAGCTTCCAACCAATAATATTTACCAATAAATACCATGATATGGATATTAAAGTTCTGTTATTTGGAGAGGTTGGAGTCTCACAGGGTTTTCCCTCTTTTTTTTTTTTAACGTCTGAGCCAAGCCACCTCCAAACCTTTTGCTCCTTCTTTACAGTTACTACCATTTATCCCCTGGCCTTCCCGAAGTCTTCTTTGCTTGTAAAACCTATGGTATTTCTGCTGATTATATTTCAGTAATCTGCGACAAGAAGGAAGGTCATCAATATAAACCACAGGCATTATATACTCAGAATTATTTGCAGCTGCACTTGCTGACCTGCTCTTTTAAAATATCCATGATCTATGGCAGCCTATCTGGGTGAGATGCTCCTTTAATTAATATGAAGGGAAAAACCCCTGCCTGTGTGCAGTGTTCAGTAAACAGGCACACGCCAGGACCACGGAATTTGAGAGCAGCAGAAGGCGCTAAATAACTGCAGAAGACGATGGGCTTGGAAGAGAATTATTTTTTGCCCGGCATCTTTCTCTTTTATACTCTAAATCAATTAGGTTGTTTTCCAAAATTTTTCAAGAGTGCCAATAACCCTCTGCTTTAAGTATGAATATCAATGAACTCTTTCAAAACCATCTTCAGATGTCAGGGAAGATTAACATGTCTCGGGCACGGGAGGGGGTTCAGGAGAAGACATGCTTTTTAGTCTCTTCTCTTATGGGCATCCTCCAAAGCCAAGCGCCGTCTACGGGAAAGCTCCGTGAAGGGACCAGCACGGTAAAATTCCACGACAAGCGCTGGCAACGCCAGGAACAATCTGGGATCAATAGCTTCCAGGTCATTAATCCTACGCAGGTGACACCCAGCTCGCTACTGCTTTCACATGCGCCCTCGGGAAACCTGACCAGGTTGGCATCTGAAAGCTGGGAATATTGTTCATGTTTCGCCTTTAAACTTTGCCTGCGCATTTGGCATGGGGCTCTCTAGCATCCCATTAATGTCAGACTGTTTAATCGTAACGCAGCCTAAATGCACAGTTTGCGATTTCCTGGATTTCTGTTTGGTGACCAAATGCTTTTTATGAGGAAAATAAAAGCAAAGGTCAGTACGAACAGAAAAGTCATCTTCCATACCGGAAGACTATTTTTTCCAGTGAACTGATACAGAAGCCTAATTTAGAAAAAGGCCCTTTAGTATCATGTTATTATTAGTAGTATCACAAATAAACACAGAAACCAATTCACTTTACAGACCTCCACATTAAGCCTTCAGTAGAAAATCCCTCGGTGCTTAATTGATTTTTGTTTTATTGATTTTTTTTAACTAGCAATATCACAGATAAAATGTATCATTTTGGTGAAAGACATCTAAAACTTTTCTATCTTAAAATAAACGATTATAAATGATTTCGGCAGCAACTGGCAGCTAACAGTTTGATCCATTTGAGGAACAACCAAGCAATGGATTTATTTGGATGCCTTTTTTGATTATGTAACGTATTAACCTTGATGAAGCTTTCCAAAAAGGGCTTAGTGTATTCAAGTGCATCAACTGATTATGAGACAAATATAACAGTGGTAAGACGCTGGTCCAAAATTTTTGAATCTGATGAGAAATTTAGCTGTTAGGATGGAGTTTGCTCTTAAAGCTTAAATCTCAACAATAAGTGTTCAAACAAGAAACAGAGGAAAAAAAAAAAAAAACATGATCCAGATCAGGTATATAGTAACCATATAGGATATGTCACTTAAATCACTAAATCAAGTGGATCATAATATCCTACATAATTACTGTAATGTCAGAAATAATTCAAAATATTCAATCTGAAAGGAGAGAAGCATCAGAATGAAATGATCAGAGGGAAAATCCAGAAAGTAAATACAGTTTTATGTTCTGAAGATATCCATTTTGACCAAGACTCACTGACCCACTTTGCTTTATTCACATATACTGTAATAACACATTTTGCATACCTACAGCAAATCCTCTCCATTAAGCTATTTGCTTAATGGATGTATAAATAAGTCTACCACAATTACGTTCTTTAGGGGTCAAATCCTACCCACTTCTGAAGCCACTACTGCAGCTCCTACTACGCTGGCTGAGAGCACAGCAGCCCTCAGGAACAGCTGAAACCCGGTCGATTTTGCACTGTTGACATAACCAGCCCGTGTTATAACCGGGCTGGCAGAGCCTTCCACCAACCTTGCCAAGTGCACGAATTGATCCCAAATTGGAAGAAGAAGAAGAAAAAAAAAAAGTGCTGCAATACTTAATCTTGCATGTTCAAATTATAAATCACCTAAGTGGCAAGAAGACAAGGCTCACACGAGCTTTATTTTAAGGACCAAAACCTCGGGACTCCCGCAGAGTTGCTGCAACTTACTTGCCACGCGCAAAGCACCGCCGCGGACGCGCTATCCCCACGGATGCGCACGGGGCTCGGAGCTACCCCCGCAGGGAGTCACCCCCGGAGCTGTGCACCCCAGGAGCGGGTCACCCCGGGAGAGGGTCACCCCGGGAGCGGGTCACCCCGGGAGAGGGTCACCCCCGTGCGCCGGTGCCGGGATGCTCAGGAGGGCGCTCGGCAGCA